TAAAAGCATTATTCGGCGCAAATGTCTGCTTTGTTTGGCTGAACATCGCTGAACAAACAATTTTCTCTCACTTTACACCAAATTGTAAAAGGACCGCTGTGATTGGCATTCACCGAATGAACTACATTTATTTCCGATTCCCTTGCGCCAACATTGTCGGTTCTTTATTTAGTGTATTTGTCGACCGCTGTGGTATAGTGGTAAGTAGTGCGCGCTTCCACTCCGCAACGCCTGGGGTCAAACCCTGGTCAAAGCAACATCGCAAAAAATATAGAAAAAAGGTTTTTTCTTAACAGCGGTCGTCCCTCGGCAGGCAATGGCAAACCTCCGAGTGTATTTCTGCCATGAAAAACAGCTTCTCATAAAAATACAATCGCCGTTCGGAGTCGGCGTAAAATTGTAGGTCCCTCCGCTTTGTGTGACAGCATCAAGGCGCACGCCAAAAATCAGAGGAGAAGCTCGGCCAAACACTAACATATGTGTAAGCGTCAATCTATTATTATTATTATTATTATTATTTAGTGTAAAAAGAAATTTTCAAAGTGGCAAGCGCATAAAAAAACATACTAATTTGAGGAATTTACAGACAGCAATGGGAAGAGGAACCTTGGACCAAAGGTATGTTATTAAATAGTCTCCAAAAACCATAAAACTAAATCACCAAATGATCACATATGTAAATATGTACAAATATAAATCTGTGAAAATTTGTAACCGAAAACTCCCAATTAAAATGAACTAACAGAAATAAGAATACATATTTTTTTATTTCATACTTAAGGGGATTTAAATGGGGATTTAGGAGACAAATGGGGATTTTTTGGGGATAACTGAAGCTCGATATGGGGATGCGCTACAAAAAAAATCTGGCAACACTGGTCAAGCATTCAGTTGTGAAGTCTGATCGGAGTTCATATATTCTTCAGTAATTAATCATATTACATTAAAACATAAACGTATAATATGGTAGAAAGTTAGAAATTATTTAGTCTTAATATGCATAATTCGCTCCTTGTGCGTTCACTATTGATCATTTGATTTAAATAATTGTCTCTCAAGCATTCAGTACTATAGTTTGATCGGAGTTTATATATTCTTATGTAATTGGTCAAATTTTATTAAAATATGTAAACCTATAATACTGTAGAAATTGTTAAATTATTTAGCTTTAACGTGTATAGTCGGCCATAGACAATTGCAGAAAACTACAACTACTCGTGAAAAAATACAATAAAAGCAATGTAGATGAAATAAATAAATATTATTATTAAAATTTGATCCATATATAAAACATTTTACACCATTTATTTGAAGTAAATCGGAATATATTTTTACATATAACATAGTTTCCATTTAACTCGGTACTTATTTCACTACAAATATTTTTAAGATCACTTCGAATCGCAAAAATATCGCTAATTTATTGTATTGAAGTATAAAATACTTTATTACGTTCATGTTTGCTTCTAAAGCGCATAATAATATTTCTCTCGCTATTTATCCGATGCTAAAATTTTTCACCACATTATTTTGCTGCACAGCACCCTGAATGCGGCAACACAGTTGCTCGCAACCCTCAAGTCCTTTATGGGGACCAAATTAACAGCCACAACAACAAAAAACTTTTCTACTGGTATACTGTGGTCAGCACGAGACTGTGGTCGTGAACAGGCGGCTATTGGCAAGAAGCGATTTCATATGTGCCGGCTAGAATCGACGGGCTTGATTTCATTTCTGCAACAGCTGTTGGGAAGGGTGATTTCTTCTGCGCCAGCTTAAATCGTCGGGATGGACGTCACCTTTCCTAGTGGTAGCGACACCCACGCTCTCAGCCCTTCGTGAAAACGCGTACGGACGACATCCGCGGTCAGCGTCAGCAGAGCGACGTCAACAGCCACTCATCGGCGTTAACAAGGAGCGACGTCATCGGCGCGAACAGAGCGCCACTCATCGGTGTGAACAGAGAGCGACATTTCTGGCGCGACCAGAGCGCAACCCTCCGGCATCGCTAGAGCGCCAGTCATCGGCGCGAACGGAGAGCGATATTACTGGCGCGATCAGAGCGCAACCCTCCGGCATCGCTAGAACGTCACTCGTCGGCGCGAACGGAGAGCGACTTTACTGGCGCGACCAGAGCGCAACCCTTCGCTCTCAGCCCTTCGTGAAAACGCGTACGGACGACATCCGCGGTCAGCGTCAGCAGAGCGACGTCAACAGCCACTCATCTGCGTTAACAAGGAGCGACATCATCGGCGCGAACAGAGCGCCAGTCATCGGTGTGAACAGAGAGCGACATTACTGGCGCGACCAGAGCGCAACCCTCCAGCATCGCTAGAGCGCCACTCATCGGCGCGAACAGAGCACCACTCAAAGGCATGATTAGAGCGCTACTCTCCGGCATCACCGGAGCGATACTCATCGGCGCGAGAAGCGCGCCACTTATTGACGACATCAGAGCGCTACTCTCCTACATCAACCCGATTTGTGGCCCCTTGAAACTTACACTTTATTATACTATAGTTTTTTGGGCCATAAAACTGGACACCCAAAAATGTTCTTAAGATTTAGAATCAAAAGTTCGATTTTTATACCCGAGCGCACTTGTGTACAAGGGTATTATAACTTTGTTCACATAACGGTTGTTTGTAACAGGCAAAACGAATCGAGATAGATATAGACAAATGTATACATAAATGATCAGAATGAAAAGAGAAATCGATTAAGCGGTGACTGTCTGTCCGTCCGTCCGTCCGTCCGTCTGTGCACACGATAACTCGAGTAAAAATTGAGATATCTTAACGAAACTTGGTACGTGGACTTCTTTTGGGCATAGGACGGACGGTATTGAAAATGAGCGAAATCGGACAATAACCACGCCTACCTCCCATATAACGGTAATTTTCAGAAATACGAAAAGTGCGATATTTTAGTAACTACTGAAGATAATTCACTCAAAATTGATATTTACAATGAGTTTTAGACGAAAAATAAAAATATTAAAAAATTTTGGCAAATGGGCGTAGCCACGCCTACTTATGGTTACATGTGTATATCTTGGTAACTGCTGCACCAATTTCTTCCAAACTTGGCACAGTTGTTGGTCCTGCCAATAACCGGACAATAACCACGCCCACATCCCATATAACGGTAATTTAGAAAAATACGAAATCCTCGATAAATCAGTAAATATTAAAGCTAATTTATTCAAAATTGATGGTTGCAACAATTTTTTACCAAGAAATACGCTTATGATACAATTTTGGAAAATGGGCGTGGCACCGCCCACTTATGATCACATATATGTATCTCGCTAACCGTTCTAGCCATTTGAACCAAACTCGGTATGGTTATTGTGCTTGCCACATAAAAGCAAAGCGTTGAAAATTATTGAAATCGGACTAAAATTACGACCGCTTTTCATATAACAGTATATTTCAGAAATGCTTGAAACTGCAATATTTCGAAATTTAAGGACGCTAATTTACTTAAAATGTATACACCCCGGCTTATCGTGTAGCGGTAGCTTTCGGAAAGGTGGAAACATATATTTAATAATTGCGCCGGGTATTTAATGTTCGGCTCCGCCCGAACTTGTACTTTCTTACTTGTTTTTTGTAAATTTGTTGAATTTATCTAAAGTTTGTATTAAGCTTGAAAAATTGATTTATAAGTTTTGGTTAAAGCATGAAAAATATTTTTATAAAACAATAAAAAAATTAGCTTGAAAAACATTATGGATATTAAAAACTCAACATGGGAACACTTGAATGAGTCCCCGTATATAGAATTTTCGTAAATGGTACTGAAAAAGGCACATATGTACATATGTATATGACAATTCAAAGTCAACCTAACAAACGAAAATGAAAATTTAGAAACCAATTTTTGATCGCAGTCATAATTCAGTTGACATGGAATTTTCCATATATACTCTTGTGGTCAGCTGATTAAGTCAAGTGACATTTTGACTAGTTTTGGCTATTTTTCTTTTGTTTATTTAATGTTTATATTTTTTTAATAAAAGTCTAGCAGTTTACCCAACCAGCCCCACATAAATCTACATTTTAAGCTTCGTACAAAAATTATGAAAATTCAACAAACTTTAACATTTGCACCCGGAAATTTTAAACTTTTTATTCAGAATTTGGGGTTTGCAGTTTTGTAGCTCCTTCCATTCTAATAGATAAAACTAATTTTTATTTTTATATAAAGTATGCTCGACGGTTTCGTTTGTATGGGAGAAAACGCATAGTACCATCAGCAAAAAAATTATTAAAAATCAATGCGATTTTCTAGCGTCTTGAAATTTGAACTTTTACCTACTAGAATTGAAGAAACTTTTCAAACATAATCCTTTGGTCTCTAGCGTGGTTATGGTGCGATGAATTACAGCAAAATTTGATTTTATAAAGGCTAACGGCCGCACTCAGAAACGTTCATTAAATTAGCTCTAACGGGCACTTAACTAATGATCGTTAAATCTGTTAATTAATGTTTCCTCTCAGAGTCATTTTTTAATGATTCATTGGTTAATGAAAACTTTAAGGGCTTGTCAATTTCTTCCCTCTTTAGCAACACTCACTTCAAATTGACAAAAAATTAAATATTTGAAGTTAGATTATATTGTGCTTTCATACGAAATACGTATTTCATTGTTTTTCTATCATCACCAAGGCAAGAAAGCATACATAATATAATAATTATATTATAATGGTAAGTATCGGTGTAGAAGTAAAGCAAGATCGTAGTTTAGGCCTTCCTCCTATTAATTTGTACTCGCTGCATTCATTTTTAACCAGATCACCAGTGTTAAGTGTGTATAGATCGCGCTTCCTTATAAACTCCAATGATGCGAGGTTAGCGAAATTCTTAAAAATCCCTGGTGCTGTACGGACTCCATTGAAAAAACTTGGTTGTTTGTATTGTGTGATTGATTCCGAGTTTCTTTTGTAATAATTTAACAATGCATAGTTTACATATGAATGAATGTATGTGTTTTAGAATTAATATGGTTTATATTAAGTCCTGGACGTGTCTCGGCTTATTTATGACCACTTTTATGTCCATTGCTGCACTACTTAGTACCCAGCCTGCAAAGAAAAGTCCGTGCTGAGAGATAGTATTGGGCAACGCTCTCCAGAATAGTGCAGGCAATCAATTATTAGCTAGCACAATTATGATGAGAAGCGTTTTTGTCTATTTTGAGAGTGGCTCACACTCGAAGATGTGATCTGGTCAGTTAGGGCTACCAGAAGTGTGGTGGGTTTTGTACATCCCCAAAGAATTGTATGTAATAACTCTTCGAAACACATTTGAAAACTGCAATACAGTCGTTTTAGGAATGCGATTTTACAAGTCAAGCTACAATGCAATTGTTTCTTGGAAGCGACAAGTTAAAAGGTTCTTGCACAAACTATAGTAAAGCTAAAGCTTGTCCATGTTACCACATTCAAGAACTGCAATACCTGCTCTTAATTCACCCAGGAAATTTCTATGTACGTATACAAATGTTTGTTTTAATTTAGGAAGAAGCAAAAGTAAATCGAAAGCGTGTATTAAATTTCACTGCCGATGAAAAGGCTATATTAGGGCAACTAATAAAGAAGCGGCCTATTATAGAATCGAAGCATACGGATGGAAAATCAATTTTGAGAAAGAAAGAAGCTTGGGATTTGCTTACGAATGAGTTCAATTCAAATTCGAATGTCTACAAGGTAAAATTATATGCGTTTTAAGGCGGGTTGTATGGAACGAATGGAACAGATTCGGATTCTAGATAAATTTCTAAGAAAAAATTCCATTAGAGCATAGCTCTGGATTTCGAGCCCGCCAAACTTGAAAAAGCTATCTTCAATTAATGCTACGTTAAGACATAAGTAAGTATTAAAAATATGACCTTCATAACACTCCCGCTAATATTAAGTGTAGACATTAACTTAGTATTAATTAAAGATAGGTTATTTTAAAATTTTGGGGGGCTCAAAATTTGGAGCTATAATGGAATTTTTTCTTTGGTATTTAATGTAGAATACGAATGTGCTAGGAACGATGTCGAAAAAATACCCGACCTAATGCATTTATTCAATTTATTATACGCCTTAAGGTAGCGTCAAACAGATGCGGTAAAAAATTTTACGATATGCGATCAATACAAACCACTGCGGTATAGCACCGCAGTGTGTCGTATCTCACCTGTTTGAGAGCGTTTGCTTTTTATCGTTATCGCAAAAAATACGATATCGTATCGCACCGGTATTATCGCATCTGCTTGAGGCCACCTTTAGTATTTCGTGTTTCCATATTGTTTATTTCAGCGTGAGACGGTTACATTAAGGAGGGCGTGGGAAAATATGAAGGCAGTCGCACGAAAGGCTCGGGCAGTAGAAAGGGGTAATTTATTTCGAACGGGCGGTGGGCCACCGGTGCCATCAACATCACGGCAAGTAGAAGCAATAGTGGACATGGTGGAAGAGGTATGTATCCTTACAGCGCTCTTACACGATATTTATTTGCTTATCGTTATCTTAATATAGAAAGGCCCTATCTCTCATCGTCGCTGAAATACAAAAAAAAAATCGTAACTAGCTAAAAATCCTAAATTCACCTATTGATTGATTTTGAGCATTATGTGAAATAGAGCCTTTCTATATTAAAGTAACGATATACATATATGTAAATGCTACTTTACTTACGAGTACATACAAAAAAAAAACGTTTACATATCGATGGTCCTGTGCAATAACGACACAAATTAAAATTCGAAAAATAAAAACTGTTACTACTGTTAAGTGATTATTGTCTCTAATCCTTGTCTAATCCATTTCCATCCCTTACTAAAGTAAGCAGTAAGAATTGTTAAAGTAAGTACAAAAGATGAGACATGGATTCGACAAGGATTAAATACATGAGTCACTTAACAGTAGTAACAGTTTTTATATTTTTTTGAATTTTGAATTGTGTCGTTGTTGTACAGGACCATCGATATGTAAATACATTCATATCGTATAAGTGCGCTGTTAGGGACTTAACTATTATCTTCATACTGTCTTGTCGTCATAAAATTTAATTATTAGGCTGCTCCCGCAATGATTTGCGAAATCTCCAACAACTTTGACAGCGATGGGGCAATTTTGCTAAACATGGAAAATAGCCAATCTAGCTCCATTGAGTTTTTAGGTATGTCCTTTAAGATATAAGGCAAATCACTTTTTAACCAACATTTTTTAGATATGATCACGGAAGCAAATGAGGAATCCGACGTAAACTTCAAAGCCATAAGCATAAATTATGAAGGTGAACCAAATGTTGCAGGTACTGTACCTATAAAATACGAAAGAAGTCATCTACGATATACTAAAATTCTTTTCGCTGCTTTTTAACTACATAGTACACAGTAATGAAACTGGCCACCAACAAAAAGTGGAAAAGGAGCAAGTACGCAGACCAAGCGACTACGTTCGGCGGGAGGCAGCATTACGGGTAAGGTACCTAGAGAAGAGAGAGAAGCTTAAGCTTGAATTAGTCAAAACACAGGTATATAATAACTATGCATTGGTAAAGCTAAATATTTGTATATGCATATTTTCTTTTACAGTTGGAAGTTGAGCAAATAAAAAAAAGAGCAGCCTTGTTGGAAGAGCAAAAAAACCAAGTATTACTACAAAAGGCTAAAATAGATTTTGAAGAGGCAAAAAAAAATCGTTCAATAAATTAAAGACATAGTTAATATTTCAACATCTAAAGACTTTTATTTGTAGCAAAAGATCTTAGGAAAAAAATCTGTCTACCAGAGATTGACGCGCAATAAAACCGTTGCTGTTGGAGTTTTCATTGATTGGTGAGGCTTCGACATTAAAAGTTTCGATGTTATCAGAGCTGACTGGTAGCAAGTCATCTACTAAGATGGAAATGTTATGCAATGCTGCACATGCGCATATAACAGCTACAACGGTCTCCAGCTTAATACCCATTCCAACGTGAAGGCAGGGGAATCTTCGCTTCCAAACTCCAAAACATCTTTCCACAGTGTTTCTTGTTTTAATGTGGCTTTTATTGTACTCCTTTTGTGGAGTTGAGCTTGGTGATAAAAACGGAGTTAAAAGCAAATTACTGACAGCATATCCACTGTCACCTAAGAGTATTCCTTTTAATTCCCCGCTATTGAATCTTTGCTTAACCGAACTGCTGTTATATATAAAGCTATCGTGCGTACTCCCAGGCCAACGAACTACTAAATCAAAAAATTCCAAGTTTGGACCAGTGACTGCTTGTACATTGATAGAGAACCACCCTTTCCTATTTCTGTATACCTCAGCAGATAATCCTCCTGGGCTTCTTATTTTAATATGTGTGCAATCTACGCACGCAATTACTCCAGGAAAATGAGCCAATTCATAAAACTGTTGCCTACAAATAAAAATGTGCAACAATAATTAAGCATTTTTATACATAGTATGTAAAAATACTTATTATGTATTAACGAAATTCAGAATACAAAATATGGCCCTACTTTACTCTATTAAATTCTTCTGCAGTAGATGGAAATTTAACGAGGTCTTTGGTTTTTCGCGCTATTGAAGTAGAGACTTGAAAAATTATTCGTGAAACTGACTGTTGACATATGTTCATCACATCTCCATCCAGTTTCTGTAATTGAAATGGATAGTCATATGTTATCGTTCATTAGATCCAAAAGTTGAGGCATTGGAAATTCACACGTTTATTTCCATATGTATGTTGGTATAACTTATTAAAGAACGTCGAAGTTCCAAGATAAATAATAATTTATATAATTTAATTAATTTTTTTAATTTATATATATATGATATGCTAAGAATATATGTATGTATATGTACATATGTATATAGTTTCAGCTGCTTCTTGAAATAGTTATATGCATACATCCATCCTTGGAAAATAATACATATAATATGGAGACAGATTCAAATGTTATCTTCTCGTAAATAATTGTATCAATACCAACCTGAAAACTGCCAGTGGCATAATATCGAAGTGTTACCAATAACATTATTTCCGGGTGAAATGGTAATCCTCTTCTGGTTGGCTTATCCAACTCAGAAGACACCAAAGGCAAAATAACATTCTTAATAGTTTCAGGCGTAAATCTATATCGTGCATGGAATTCCCGATTTGAGTACTTCGTGAAAGGATCAGAATAATCTCGAAGATAGCGCCTCAATCCCACTTCCCTGTGCCTTCTTACATAATCCGCAAAGTCCATGAAGTCTTCTAGATCGGACATTTTTCCACTATTTTAAAAATCTAATACAAATTCAAACGAAAATAATAAAATAATAAACAAAAGATTGTCAAAATCTCTCGTTAAAAAGTTAAGTGAAGGTTTTTCTTTACTCAACTTTAATGTTCATTAAATGCCGTTAATGAAACATTAGCTGACTCTGAGAGGGAATTTTTTCAAATCGTTACTGAGGGACACCTTAAGTAATCATTAAACGACTCTGAGTGCGGCTGTTAGTCACTAACAAATGTATCGTTTGCAAGCAAATTTTTAGCGATGCGAATCGATTCGCTGTCTGCATCACTCAAGCTCTCTACCAAGGATTTTATTTCAAAAAAGTTCTCGTTGTAATATTCGGCTGCCTTCAGCCAAGTGCCCCAACGTATTGTTGATTGGTGGCAATGGTAGTTGAGGATACGTTGTTTTAAATTTCTTTCGGCGAGATGGTACCTTAGAAAGATGTTCAGACGTTATTGTAAAAATTACCATTGACATGTAAGGATTTTACCTTTACGAAAATTGATTTTATGCACGATATAAGCGTCTTCGTATTTGCTACGAATAAATTCGCAAACACGGTGAAGGCCATGCGCGAAACATGTTACATGAAGCATCTTGTAAAACAAAGTCTTCAAAGATCTCATTGCATCAACCATATATGGCGCCGCATCGGTTATTGCAACCAGAGCGTGTTCGTATTCAATTCCTGCAATGAAAAAAGGACTTACAATATAAACACGTGTTAAAATAAATAAAAGGAGCAAACCTTCAGGCCACAATATAATTAAGGAGTTGTTAACGAACGCTGCAATATTGGTGGCTTTGCTGCATCTATTTCGCAAACATTCAGTAAATATGATTTATCTTTTTCCTCAACGTCGTTCACATCCAGTATACCAAATATAAAATTTGCTATCAGTCGTTGTTCCGTATCTGTAGTCTCGTCAATGGAAATCCAAATATTTTTATTGTGAGCCTTTTTGCGCATCATTTCCATGCATTCGCCATATAACAATGGCACATACCTTTGAAGAAGCGTACTTTCAGATGGAATGATCTGATTTGTATCATTTTGCAAAAACTGAACCAGATGAGGAATGTTCGATTTTAAAAACATTTTACACAAGTTCATAGAAAACGGATGTGGAGATTTTTCTGTGCATTCGCGGTAGAAAAATGTTGTGTTACTTGAAAGGTCCTAGACGCGTTTAGGTTTCTATCACAGCTTTTACAATACAAAACACTACCGTCGCTTCGTAGTTCGTCGTTGTGCTCATTTACTATTCTCGTAAGGAGTGCACCGAAATTTTCATTGCCCATTGGCATTTTATTTAACAAAGAAATCAAAAAATTTTGCGAACAGCTGCGCGCGCAGATTTGACAAGTGCATGACTTTAGACATTTTGTGTATGCGATAAAGCGACAACTGTATGAATATTATACACTTTATTATGGCACTTTATATCCTGCCAAATTTTTATATTAAAATTAAAATGTATGTAAGGGATGCATTTATATAAGTTTAAAAAACACTAACAAAAGATTAAATAATCTTTTAACAATAAATATGCCGAAAATATGCTTTATAGTTAAAATATGCGCTTTACCTTTAAATATGCTATTATATCCAAAAATGGCAAAAATATGCTTTTTATGCAAATGCATATTTTTATCTTCTCTAGTTATTAATAATAACTCACCTTAATCTGCCACCAGTACCGGTCGTAGCTCCACTGAATGGCGCAACTGCCGTTGGCATATTATGTGTTTCCGCTGTAAAAATTAAATCCGATTCTGTTGCCGTGAGTTGGACGCGACTCGGTTCATTAAATTTTTGCGGCCGTATTGATTTGTAAGAAAAACCGCGAATGGCACTACTATTGTCACTGAATTTAATAGTATTATTGGTATTTGTATGATCTTGTGTATTCATTATCATTTTAATTAAAGAGTCAGGTTGTTCTTGTCCATCGATGATCATCTTCCCACGAAAAAACCAATGACGGGAATGCTCGCTATTACTCTGAGCGCAATCGAAGAGTTCTACTGTTGTTGGATCTCTTTTTAAGACTTCTTTAAAGAGGAGAAAGTAGTAGTCTATATCCCATTCGGTAAATGCTAGTCCCAGTTCCGAGTTAACCTTCTCCAGCGCATGACGGCCATCAGACAAAATAGGCACGTGATACCAAGGCAATTGGCTTTTGGGTAGATGTTCATTAAAACTATTTATCGGTAAATTTTGGCTGGTATATTCACATTCGGTCATACGATCAGCGAGTAAATCAATGATTTCTGACTTCATTTTTTCTGTAAGTGATGTAATTGAATTTAGGCCAATAAAATAACGAGTAGACGACTCTATTCGATTCACATGATTCAAGCCAACATTTTGACATATATTAACGCAATTTGTTGAGAAAGCAGTGGAAAAATTAAAACGTGGACCTATCTCGATCAGACAGGAATGGGATTGGCTAATGAATGAGCTTTTATTCTTTAATGAAGATACGTCGCATTGTGCCTCTTTTAGTAACCACCGCAGCAGAAATTCTTGCTGTGTATCGATTCCAATTGGAGTAGTTGATTCTACATGATAGCATATCTCCAGTTCTAATGCAGAAATATTTTCACAAATCTATGAAAAAGACAGATGTTTTAATGATTTAGATACCATAACATAAGTATGTACATATTTGTGCGATTTACAATATGTAGTTGCGTTCCAGATAACTTCGTGTAAAAACCTGTAAAACTGTCAAATCACAAAATTACTCTCTTGAAAGAGAGGAGCGAGAGCAACACAGTAAAAGATATGGAACGCTAAAAACCCCTTTTTCTGTAAATAAATACTTCCATTTTTTAACACATTTAAGGTTCATTGCTTTCACCGCGTTGTGTTTTTGTTTACAAATGCAACCCTGCCTATCGTTTGACACTTTTCATGCACTTGCAGGAAGAAAAACTTCGGACTAAAACCTGCAACTTCTGACTGGAGAGAGAGCGCAAGTTACTCTCACAAAAGTGCTTTGACTTACAGGTTTTTTGGCACCCGGAACGCTTTTCTTGTATAAAAAAAAAGCTGCGTGAATATCGTGAGCATCTGGAACGCAACTAATGTGTCATAACTAGACACATTGCCTTAATGTCATAAAATTTATAAACGTTTAATATATTTTTATTTGAGTGAGCCATAGCCAGGGAACGGATTTTATGAAAGTTGGCTTTTTTCTTCAAAGGGATAGGGTAGTTTCGATTAAAAATTGCCACGAATTAGCTTTGCATTAACGATGTTGACTATAACCAGTGTTGTCGCTAGGGCTAGTAATCCCGGGATCCCGGCCTTTTTAGGTGCCGAAAATCCCGGGATTCTTGGCAAATAATACCGGGATTTGTAATTTGCACTGATGGCAATAATAAAAACTCCCCTACAAGAATTGTGTGATGGAAACTAACACATTCTCATTTATCTTACTAACACATTTGCAAATTTTGCGTTGGTTAAAAAGAGACCAATATATAAAGCCATAAGTTGGAGGAAGACGGAAGATCATATGTACACAAATGTTTACATCAGATTTTTCACACTGCCCTTTAGAATGTGATAGAAACTTGTAGGTAGCCAGTGACAGAAATCTCTATCAGCCTTGCCAGTCAAATGATTTGTCAAATGATGGTCACTGTTCTTGCAGGGTCCTTTTCTTGACCAGTATTGGCTATATTTCTTTCTTTATTTAATAATTAATATTTTTTTATAAATGTCTATAAATATAACACCGTGCGATATTAAATTTTACACACAAAAATCAAAATATTTGCGAAACCATGGGCCAAATATAGTAAAATTGCGTTTTTAGTTTCTTACTCTTACGTCAGTAATACAAAAATGATTTAAAAAATTCAGTGAAATGTGCTTAGAGAAGAAGTATGGGTATCAAATTAAAGAAGAAATTCTCTAGAATTCAATCAGGTTCACCTTTTTTGTGGAGTAATAAGTATTGAAAATGTCCTTTTAAAATTGTATCCTTGAAATTTCGCAATACTTGTTTTTGAAGAAATTATATGTTAAGCACTTATATAAACGATAACATCCTCGAATTTCGTCCTTTTAACTTTATCAGCTTAAAAAATTACTTGTTCTTCCTTGTGTATGCAAAAATTTTATTTTTTTTTAATTCTAAAGAAATTTTCTCTTTCATTTGGTACCCATATTTATACCTTTCATGAGCATGAAATGGTATTACAAATTTGGTACGATGGTTGTAAGTACCAGAATAAGAAATGTACACTTATTTGGCCAGAACGTCGAGCTGAGTCGATTGAGCCATGTCCGTCTGCCCGTTTGTGGGTGTATTTTTATAATATATTAATCATTTGTTGGAACCAGACAAATCGGACCACTATAACATATAGCTCCCATACAACTGGTTCTTCAGATATGAGATTTTTCATTATAACTCCTCCATTTATGCAGCTAGGAACATGAAATTTTGTACTATTTCCACCCATTATAGACACAGTGAAAATGACAAAGTTCCGGTCACTATAACCTATAGCTCCCATACAACTGATTGTTCGGATATGAGGTCTTTTATTATAACTCCTCCATTTATGCAGCTTGGATTATGAAATTTCGCACTGCTTTCACCCATTATCAATACAATACTTACAGTGAAAATTACAAATATCGGGTCACTATAACCTATAGCCTCCATACAACTGGTTGCTCAGATATGGTTTTACTTTAAAACTCCTTTAATTGGACAGCGAAAACCGAGAAATTTCGTGTGCTATTTTCTAAATTATAATACACACGCTACTGAGAAAATCGTCAACATCGGTACTGTATAAGTTTGTTCAAATACAAGATTGTGCGATATAACTCCTTTATTTAGGCAGCTAAGCGCATTAAATTGTGTAACCCCTTTACATACCGATCACAGACAACAGTAAAAATCATTTAGATTGGTGCCGAAGAAAATAAGCAAGAACAAGTAAAGAAGTATAAGTTCGGGCGAAACCGAACTTTATATACCCGGCGCAGGTATCAAATATCGTCGTTTCAACTTCCTCTGAACTACCTTTGCATGATAAGTTGGGGTGTTTACCCGATTTCAAACGTTTTCGATAATATCCAGAGTTAGGCTTAATGATATAAATGAGCCTAGTTAGGTAGAAACCGATGAAGTGGTTACCGTGGTACACGTTTGTAGTTATAAAGGGGGCGGTGTTACGCCTAAAAGTCTATAGCAATCTTATTTATTGTTAGGAGATTGTTGTAACTATTAACTTGAAGTAAATTGGCGTCCTCAGTTACTGAAATATCGGAGTTTTCATATTTCTGAAATTTACCATTATAAGGGGAGCGGGTGTAATTTTAGTCCGATTTGAATAATTTTCAACCTACCGCGAATAAACGGCAACCTACATACCAAATTTCGTTGAGATATCTCAATTGTTGCTCGAGTTATCGTTTCCACGGACAGACGGACGGACGGACGGACAGACAGACATGGCTTAATCGACTTCTCTTTTCATTCTGATCATTTATGTATACATTTGTCCATATCTATCTCGATTCGTTTTGGCTGTTACAAACAACGGTTATGCGAACAAATTTAATATACTCTTGTGCTTACCCGTACAGACAAACCATTGATTTAAAATTTTTGTATCCGATCAGAAATGCAATTGATGTTACGGGTTAATAAAACCGAATTTATTTTTGTGTTATTATTTCTAAATATTTCTTTAGTTCAACGAATAAGTTGAAAATTTTATTGGCACCCTTGTTTTCAACAAAAATATATGCCAGTTCCATTATTTCGGAAGGAACAAGTCAGACAACAGGCTGTAAAATATCAGATGTCAAAACTCCTAGGACACTACTATTCACACACACGAAATAATAGCAATTTATTTCTTGACCGTTTTCTAAGAGGTCCGTATTTGGCTTTATATATTGAAATAAGCAAAATAAGCATGATCGTTAATATAAAGGTTGGAAACCCTGAATAAGCAAAATAAGCAATTCCAAGCAAAAGCTTAAAGTTTTCGGCCCTGTTTATAAGGTATATCTTCCATACCACTGTTTTTTTAGATATGCTTTTTTTTATATATAAGTACATCTATGTATACTGTGGATATAAAAATTTTGTTTAGCTCCCAAACAACTATGTAATTTCAAATGCAGTAGGCTGTTAAAGTAAAATTTTCGGATGTTCATGAAAGGTAAGAAGCTTAAGGGCCATTCACATACAACTTTCCTCGCTTTGCTTGACAGTTCAAACTTTGACAACAAAGCGTGAAACGCGGAAGGTATGCTACAATAAACGCTTTGACAGCTTTTGCGTTCTCCTTTTCCTCCATATTTTTTATCGGTAAAATAGATAGCAATATAATAATATGCATTAATAATAGCAATAAAAATTCCTACTTACCCTATTTTTGTCATTAAATGCAACTCCAAGCGCACGAGAAAAGATACATGTAGACAGCTGATTGCCAAAGCGGGCAAAAGTTGAGAGTTGCCCAAGATTTTGCTTCGTTTTGCTTTGCTTTTCTTCAAACGTTTTTTATGTGAGCATACTCATGCATGTGCCTACATCGATCTTATATGTCAAAGCAAAGAACTATCAAGCAGAGCGAAGAAAGTTGTATGTGAATCAGCCTTTACGGCATATCCGAAGACAGCCCTGCTCTTACTTGTTTTATTCCACATTTCATTGAATTTTTTAAATAAGTTTGGAATTAATCATATCTTTGAAATTACAAGGTCATTTAAAATAAATCCTGATGTCAGAGAGAATAAAATAAAAACGTCCCTTAAGATAAAAAAGTAGGTGTCAAACCCATTTATTTACTATTTATTTTATACTAGGATTTTTTCGATTTAAGTTGTTGAAAAGTAACGGATATCTAAATCGCGGGACTAATCCCGGGATCCCGGGATTGTGATAACGACATCCCGAAAATCCAGGGATGGGCTTTTCCAAAACTAGACGGTTTTTCAAACAACCACGCTTGGTCCGAGTGAGGGGCGGGGGGCTTAGGTTTTTATCACATAGTCAATATCCTCTAAGGAAATTTAGCGTTTTTTCGAGACGCATTCAAATATGGCGCGCAGTGTTTGGCGCTTTTTAAACTCACAGGACTTTTGTTTCTATAAATGAAGTTCTGGTTACGATATATTTTGACGTAAGTTTTATCTTGATAATACTTTATCCACTTGTAATTATATGTATGCATGCACTCTTGCCGTCACGCAGAAAGCGCCGTATTAATAAAAAAATGGGTCACGTATATACAATATGAACATCCATATATCGACACCTGAGTGGAAGATCGACCTATCTCGGCAGCCAGTTGAAAATGCCCATCTCAGAAAACTTTTCAAGAACGCCCTATTTCAGAATTTGGTTGCAGAATGACCTATCTCAGAATTTGATTGAAGAATGACCTATCTGAGAAAACTTTTCAAGAACGTTCTATTTCAGAATTTGGTTGAAGAACGCCCTTTCTCAGAATTTGATTGAGGAATGACCTATCTCAGAATTCGGTTCAAAAACGCCCCATCTCTGCACATTTTCAAATGCGGTAGAGCGTTCTTCGACCAATTATGAGAGAGGGTGTTTTCTG